ACAAGTTACGTATTGCTTAGCGCCGCCGCGCTGCCTCGCGCTTATAACCTTTAAAAATTAAAGCGTGTTATCAAATCGGCTAGTTCACAGTGAAAGCAGGCAGGCACCGTCAACCAGTGTTCATCGGCGTTCTCGCTTTTACCGGAACGAAAATTTATTTATTTCAGCTTTTGCACGCGCCGACAGCGCACAGGGGGTATTAAGAACTAAGAGTTGGGCAAAATTATGTTTTATGATTTTTTTGCTTTTTGTTAGTAATATTAATTATTAAATAGGAGAGAGGTTGCTAATATGGAACCCCATTTTGTTTTTCCTACACAACATTTTTTCCCCTACTCTGAAACCCTTTCCACCGAACAAATAGGTCCATTCTGTGCAAAACCAATCAATTGGATGAGGATGCTAGAACAAGAAAGTAATTTGTATATTATTATAGACGATATTTGAGCGAGGATGGGTATTATAGGGTAAAGACTATCCTTTAAGAATCTATTTAAGTTAATGTTTTAAGCGGGTGGCAAATATTGGCAAGATTTTAGTGCATATTCCAAAGCTGAGACTTTAAGCATTGAACGGATACTAATTTCCATGCGGAATATTGCCGAAAAGTCTACACTTATAAAAATAATATTTTGTTTATATTTAAATATAAACATTATAAAAAAAATAGAATAGAAGGAAACAGTTTCAAAATAAAATATGGGTGATAAAAAACAGAACAGAGCAAACAAACAAAGCTGGCTCGGTATCCATTATGACAGTTATTATAAACAATTTGCAAAAAAAAAGGAATTACAAAACACCCCACTATTTATAATCTTAGAAATATTCAGAATACACTCAAGATAATTCATAGTAATAATTGAAATATATTATTTATTTGATAGTCAACTTTCGACTGTTTAATAAACGTGCGCCATTTGTAGGCTTCAGATTTGTATTCAAGATAAAAGCCCAGTACTAAAAATATCAATTTTTGGCCAGGGTTTATAGACCAAATAATTTCTATGTGCCGGCGCGGCGGAGCGCGGCGTTTGGATATGGTTAGGTTAGGTTAGGTTAGTTAATCAGGTAAATTTCCTCTTAATTAACTACTTCCGCTCAACAACTCAAACCCTGCTCGCATCTCCGAAAAAGCCATATAACAATACACGAGATGCGTATACGCAAAGTTACGCATCACGTATTATTATATGGTTTTTTTCGAGATGCGGCATGTGAGCGATATGTTGTCAAGAATAGGTCCCCAGAGACGGCGCTGGCTGCCGAAAAGCAGAAACCTGCCTCCACTATGTTCGTACCTCTTAGGACTTTCGCTATGACGTTGGAGCCGTAGTAATGCAGATTTGAATCCTAGTCAAGGCGACTTTTTTTAATCGTTTTTTTTAAATTCTTACATATTTTTACTTTTTAGATATTTTGTTACGGTTTAAAATTTCACCGTAACTTATTTTACTTATTTTGCTTATTTTTAGGAATAAAACTAAAACTTACTTGAATAACTTGAATAATAACGTTTAATTAGCTTACTTCTTAACTGTACATATAACTTCTAATAATATCTTATCTATTAAATCTCTTCACTACAACAATTTCTTTGGATGGAGTTGTCTCCGATAACTGTGTAGTATAACCTCTATTAATAAAATATCAATTTTGTTTTTTTTTTTTTTTTTTTTTTTTTTTTTTTTTTTTTTTTTTTTTTTTATTTATTTAGACTTATGCTTGTGTTAGAATAATTTCCTGGCATATTTCTTCGGAGGATTCTTGAACATAGACTTGATGTTATTATCTTTTGTCTGTTTCAACGCAACAAGTGGGAATGTTGGGTCTACAATATACATATAAGGGTTAAGGATTTTATTATGTATTTTTCCGGTGTGTAATCAATTGGTTTACCTGATTATAGTTGATTTTTCCCCAAATTTCATCTTTGTTTCGCTTATATTACTATTTACAGACTGACGTTTCAGTTGTTGTCAGCTGATCATCCAGCGTTGAAGTTTGACAGATGGATTTTTGGAAATTAGGTTTTCGATTTTTTTAAACGGTTTTATATATGATCGGAAAACGTATTAATAATTTTCCGAAGATATTATGTTCTTATAGGGATTATTAATTTTATTATGATGTAATAAAAATGTTCACTAATCAGTATGCATTAAATAAAATTTTACATCGAATTTTATTTTGGGTCTTTTGTTTTACTGGTTGCCTGTGTTAGACTTTGGATTGGTATCTTGGAGTCCAGCGTCTTTTGCGGATATTGCAAACACACGTCCTTTTTCGACTTTGAACCATCTTGGTGAAAGCAAGGAAGCCTTCTGATCTCTGCCGAAAATAAAAAGAAATTTAGTGAAATTTCTGAATAGTTTCCGCCGTTCCATATTGGGATTGTTCAGTAGAATTACGGTCTTGTAATTCATTGAGGGTCGAGAAGACCGATTGGCAAGAAATTGAGCTTGGCCTGTGTGTAGTTGGAATTCTGGGGAAACCTTGAAAAAGGGATATCTTTGTTGATTGGGTAAGAGACATTCTTAGGTGTAAGGTTCTCTTCTACAACTATTTATTTTAGAGGACAGGAGTTGTAGATGGGTGCGTGGACGTACTGGGATTAGTACGAGGACAGTTAAGGAACCCTTTTCCATGGAGTAACATGCGTTGAGACGCCATCTTGTCTTGGAAGGTCCACATGGTGGAAAGGTATTTTACTATGTCCAAACTAGAACGCATCACTAAAATAGATCACATTTTAGGGTTCTTGTTCCTTGGCTATTACTCCTTAGTTATGATTACGGTTTAGCTTAGGATTTTTATCAATTTTTTTGTACTGGATTTGGTACCGCAACTAATGCCATTGTGACGTGAATGCCACTGTGACGAGGAATACCACTGTGACACTGAAGACCAGAAATCTGGATTTTCTCATGGACTGACTGGAACGACCACTGGAGGACAGATAAGACTTTAATCATCTCTTATTTTTATTGCGTTTATGATTGATTAAAATTTATTACATTAAATATACGATCGTATGTGAACTTGGTATACCAGGATTTTTGCTTACATTTAAATTTCATTTTATTCTTTATAGACTTAATTATAATCACAAATACGCATCAGGGTTGTTCAGAGTTTAGTCACAACAATATTTTTGTGATACTATTCATGATTTAATTTATTCTACGGATAGTTCATTTTTTTACTAGTATATATATGTTTCATTATTTCGTATTTAAATATTTGCTACATTTTATGATAGATCTTGGCAATTTGTTTTAACTTAAATTTACATTTATTAAACGAATCCAGTACATTTGGGACTTTTCAATCAGTACGCTTTTTCCATACACCTCCCTTTTGATATATCTTGTTCTGTGCATATATATTTTACTTAATTATTTACTGAGCTAGCTGGAACCTATTTGTAACGGAACCTGGTGAATCTGAGTTCTCATTATAAACTTTTTCACCCAAGGTGGCGTTATAATTTGTTATTGATTAATACAACTTTTAGTAATACGTTTCTTCTTTTTTTTTAAATCACTTATACGCGCATTCAAAATTTCACCTAAATCGGAATAAAAGTTTATAATAATATAGTGTCTAATGTTGTATAGATAATAAAATGGTACGGAACTCCTTCAGTGGGTGAGTCCGACTCGCACTTGACCAATTTTTTAAACATTTCAAACTGCATCTTTTCAAACATGCCCTTCAAATCCTCCAATATAATAGCTGTTGTGACGACTTTTCTGTCGTTACCCAAATAGAATGAAAAAGAATCCGTTGCTCAGGGTTAGAGGAAAGCTGGGTTCTTCTGATTCACAGTGACTTTCTAATGTTGTTAAAAAAAAATAAAAAAATGATAATATGTAGGCTGCAGAGATTTTTAATATTGATGTTAAGAATTAAAATAGGTATGGTCAAAGACAGTGAAAAGGACGCCACTTACTTTGTTTATGAGAGTGGCAAAGTAAGAAACCAAAAAAGAAAAAAAATATTAATATCACAAACATAGCTAA